CAACAAAAAGTAGGGGTGGGGGCTGTACTTTCAATGAACAATACATTTTCTTTAGTAAAGTTATGTCTGAGAAAAGACGGGGGGGGGGTGGTATTTTGTGCCTGAAATTCTTCCTAATCAATCAAGACCCCCCCCCCCCCTAAATGTATTTTTACATCAGATAATGCACTTATGGAATCAACATGATAAAGAGTTAACACAATATAAAGATATTTTTATATCACATAAGAAAGAGTTGACATGAAAACGAGTAGTTTGTTAATATTAAGCATATTATATTTACAACTTCACAGAAACTTTACCACATCGGGTGCAAATGCATTGTGACTTTTACGTAACAAACAAACACTCTTTTTCCCATGATCTTTATTATACTTTATTGCATGAATATAACGTTTCATGAGCAAATATTTTATTCATTTATTTGCTTGGGCGTATCATCATCTGTGTACGTTTCAAAGCTTCATGTTTGTCTTTCCAGGAATGCCACACAGGATGTTTTGCGGAAATTTGAGCAGAACTTGTGTAGAGTCCATTCAGATTTGAATGATGACAAGCATCATACCACCAAGCTCCATGCCAGGCATGCGCACAGTTATAATTTCCGCCATGTCTATCATTATCTTGGTCTTTGGTGGTGAACTTCATATTGTTCTGATAATTCAATGCATCACCTACGTGTGTTTTAAAAATAATAAAAATGTTCAATATTTTAAGAGAGTTAATGTCCTTAATACATCAAATTTGTCGTGATATTATAAGGTAGACATGAATCATGATTTTTATTTTCAATTATCATAACAACATTTAAATTCTAAAGTAAAACTGGCAGACAATAAAAATATCAAAAAGTTTCTCTCCTTTTAAGATAATTTTGAACCACACATACACACACACAAAAAGAAAAAACATACATAAAAATCAACTTGATTGTCTTCGTTGTTGTTTACGATATATTGAACAAATTAGCGAAAAATAGCTCTTTTTAAAAAAAAAAAAACCCTGTTAATACGTGTAAATGGAAACTAAAATTTCACATATCATAACGTACTGTGAACCAACTATTATTCGGGTCACCTTTTATTCAAGATTCCGTTAGAATCATTTCACGACAATTATTTTTTGCGATCGAGGAAACATTCTCGACGAATACTCATCAAAATAATTGATTCGCGGCAATAATAATATTTGCATATAAAAGTAGGTCTCGGAACTCGCGAATATTTCTCACACGCGAAAAAAAATGGTTTCCAGTAAATAGTAATGTTGTCGAAACGATTCAATAAAAATAAATCATATGTACCTATTGTACCGGAAAAGCCCGACGCACTCAGTTGATATTTGCTGCTTTCATTGTCCACAGAAAATCTAGAATATTTGGCGTATCCTTTTTCTCCATTAAATCTTTGTAGATCAACACGGAGAAGCTGAGTTGTACTGTTGGTGAGTGTGTGCATGACATCATTTCCTGATAATTGCAAATTTTTCAAACAATATTTTAAGGTTTTGATTACGTTCTTTGTTTTAGCATATCAATACAAAATAGAATTACAAAATATGTATTTTAATTGGGCCTTTCTAACAAATTTTTACTAACACTTGTATCTTTTTTCAAATTGATTCAATAATTTTTCTTTTCTTTACATGTTTATTTCAGAGGGTGCATAAGGCAGGTTTAATTGAGATATTTATTTTTTTTTTATTTTTTTTTCTCATTTTTTTTTTTTAGAATACATTTATATAAATGCAGTTACAATGAAAATCCTATTATTCTTTTATATAAAAAATTGTATCTTGAGGAGAAAAATACCAATCCAGTAATTTTTGGAAGGATCTCCAAATCCATGTTTGTATTCTTTCCATGTTCTGTAAAAATCGGTTGATCCATCTCTTCGCCTTTGAATGACCTAGAATCATATTATTGATAAATAAGATAGTCATTCAAAAAATGCGTAGACAATGTTCCTTGTCGTCATATTATTATTAGAAGATTATAGTTCAACACATTTTCGTGAATAAAAACATTTATTTTGTCGAAGTGTGAAGTTTCATTCCATTTGATTAAATAGAACTCATGTTAGCCAATTTTTAAAGCAACATGTTTTGTTACTCCTCAGAACGCTTAACCGACATTGTAACATAAAAAACAACGTCGAGAAAGTTTCTCAAAATCACTCTGCTTTTTAATTTTATACAGGGTTTGTAGCGTCTTCTCCTGTCATAAAAACGTATCCATAACACTTAACACCAAGTTTGCTAACAACTGAGTGAACAGCTTGAAATAGATTGTCAGTGTTTTCAAATTCTTAACCGCGTAACTCTATTAGTTCCGCAAGAGTGAAACGCACACCACATTTAATGACGTTACTAACTCTTTTACTAGACCATTCATCGTCCCACTCAAACTTGCTACCACTCAAAATTGTATTTTCCATTTTAAACAAATACACGGCTTATTTTTCATACATTTCCTGGTTTAAACAGAATTTTTTAAGTTTGTTAAAGAAGTTTCCAAAATGCAACGCAAAATTTTATTGCTACCCGCTGCTCCGTGACGTCCTCTGACGTCATGTTAATTATGCCTTTTTTAAACAAGTCCATATGTATTTAGAGACTGATATCTTTTAAACGGAACGATATATTACATCACCAGCTGGTAGCATCTTAAGTAATACAGCAAGACTTAATTTAATCAACCATGTAAATTTTATTTTGTTTCAGCTCCATTTACAAGAGGTATGGCTATAGATACTATTAAGTGAAAATTAGTAAAGTACACCATTTTGACATTGCTCCGTGACCCCATTTTTGCTGTTCGAAATTTTCCATAATTTTTATAAACATGAAGATATATTCCAATTTTTGAACTCAAATTATTCGAATGTGTTGTTAAAATATGTGTACCAAATTTGCACATAACATGACGTTAAATGAAAAGTTAGGACAAAAGTCTACGAACTTTTTGAGTGACCCTCGTACACGCAAAATATGTGCATTATTTTGGTCAACACTTGACTTCAAAGGTACCATTATTTGTTTTAGTACATGTTTCGAACAGGTTCACATGTATACACAGTTTCCAAATTTTATCCACGAGCGCATTCTTGATAACATAATATGTCTTCAAGAATTGATCTTGTATTTGTACACAAATGGTTCGAAAAGCATACCAGAAAATATAATGGAAATTTCGTAATTTGGATTTCTTTTATTAGAGAGTGAGCATTTTGTGCAATACGAAAAAACTTCTCAAAAATAAGAATATATACAAAATAAACTCACAGTCCACCCTCCTCCCTCTGTCGTCATGTCACAGAACACTTCCTTCCGGTTGTGAAGATCGGGGTAAATCACGTAAACACCATCCTTTCCCTTTCTCTTTGGATCTGCCTTTAATAATTCTGAACAGTCTTTGGCTTTTTGTGCTAGTCAAGAGGTTAAAACACTGGAATTTTCAGTGTACATTTTACATATTAAAAAGTGACTGTTGCTTGATTAATAAAGTGAAAATTCATGTACAAACATTGTAAAATACATTTATACATACGATATTTGTCAACTACTCCTTTCATTTCATAGGTAGACAACACTTTGACTTTAAGGTCAATTGGAATCTCTGATTCTATGTGCAATTCCCTCGGCTTCCAAAGGACTTTCTTTGTTTTGAAAAATTTTTCTAGCATGCCTTCAAAAAGATATATGTCATCAAATACGTTTGTTTATTTTATTGGCCTATAGAAATCTTTGTCTTTATTTTACGAAGACGTAATACTTGTTTTATATTTCATTTATATGTGTCAGTGAAGTCAGCAGAGAAAACAAAAAATATGTTTCTTTATCCGAAATGCAATAAAAATATTTAGTGGAAATAAGAATGTTTTTACCTTGAATATGTGGATTTATATTATGTCCATGGCAATACATAGAGAAAGCCAAACAAAGGCATATCGCTTCAAGAATCGCCTTCATTTTTTTTTTTTTTTTTTGTTTTGTCAAATTGAAAATTATTTCTTCATTTCCGTTTACTTAATGCAATTTGTCTTTCTTTTTTTAAAGTGCAGTGTTTCCATTATGTGCATTAAAATGAAACTAGATACATTGCGTGACCTAGTAACATCCTGCAGCAGGGAGGAATTCACACGAAAGTGTTAAATTGTTTGAAATATATAGTTCATATGCGACGAAACTAATTTTTTTATTCTAAATTATTTTTGTTGCAATGAATACCTCAGCGCTAATTTTTTTGAAAAAGAAAAAAAGACCAATTACCAAAAGTAAGACCTCTGTTACATGTACCTCGCTTATGGATAAGAGATTTGAATTAACTTTTAAAAAAAAGAGGAATACAAAATTTTCGTTTTTTTTGCCCCCTTAACCAAAGATTTGTTGATACATAGTTTTTGACTTGTCAATCCGTCTGTTTAGCTGGTTGTTTATCTCACTGTTTGTTCATTTGCAAAAACTTAACCTGGTCCATAACATTTGGAAAGACCTCTCTTTGGTAACCACCAAAGATCTCTTGACTTTGACCTTATAGTGTGATCTTATAAAACATTACCACTCTGTAATCTTGTTCATTACTTTTGAAAAGTTGACGCTAGAGCTTTCATACTTCACAGATGTATTCATTGTAACAAAACCTTTGAATGGTTATAAATATTTTTCGCCTTTGACCATGAACTTAGTTTTTGTCCTTACTTAAAATATCTTCATTCCTGGCCATAACTTTTGAACAGTAAGCATCAGGGAATTTGAGAAAAACTTCTTTTTGATACAAACGATTTTGACCTTTTTACTTTGACCTTTGGAGTTTGAGTTGCAACTTAGAAATTTCTACTCTCGCCATTAGCTACTGTAACAACAATGTTTAACAAACACATTTTTTTAGTGTGTAATATGTTTTTCTAAAAATTAACATATTCGAATGATTTTCAAAATTTTTATAGATATTTATATGAATTTTCATAAAACGTTACTTATTTGGGATACCAAAGAGAGATAACCTATAATTTTAGTAAAACTTGTGTTTTTCAATTATTTAAATGCTATTGGAAAAAAAATATTTGTTAAAAAATCATGAAATACATCTTTATTCTTTAACAAACAAAAATTCCTTTTTACAGGTAATATAGACTGTCATTTTACAAATTTATGCTAAAGCTTTTTGTGTTTCACGGGGGGAACATATGTTTATAGACAGAAAACGAACAAAAATGCTGATTTTTCATCAATTTTAAAGCTATTTACAACTAAATAATTGTATTTTATTAATTTATATATGTTTTACTTACTTGCGTAAAACATAAGAAAAGATATGAGATACATTTTATCATATTTAAGACTATTTCAAAATATGGTGATTCTTGAAAGTTCGATTTCACTAGAAAATATCGTCTAGAAAATTTTTTAAAAAAGAGCTATTTGATTAAAAAGAAAATTTACTATCAAAGCGCTGGAATTAAAATGATTAATCAATTACCATAGAACTGTTCTTTGTATTAAACAAAGATTTAATGGCCAAATTGCCATAAATATTGAATTTAATGGGTGCAAAATGTAGGCGGGAATCAAAAGTTAGAGTTCGTAGTTCTTTCTACTCTCGCCATTAGCTACAACAATGTTTAACAAACACAATTTGTTTACTGTGTAGTATTTAAAAAAAAATAATAATCGACCAACGTTTTCATATTTTAGAATCTAGAGAACATGCTTCAATGCTTCATGCATTGATATTGGAACGGTTTTTTTTTAATTTTCTGTCCAGAACATTCAATGATTTAAATTTGCTATTGGATAAAAAAAATCATTTGTTCAAAAGTCACGAAATACATGTTTATTCTTTAACAAGAAAATTACAGAAAAACAAAAATAAACTTGAAATGTTATCATAAGGAAGTTAACATCGCATTCATAATGTAGCCTATCTGGTGAAGTTATAAAATCAAAGACCTATCTTTTTTAGGGAAGTTAGGATGTAGTTAACGCCGAACTAGAGATGATGGAGGACATATTCCTTTGGATTATCATACCCTTTTTTATACATGAGGTTCAATTTGCTCGGAAATAAGTCATTTTATTAGACTGTTAATGTTGGTACCCGAGCACAGGACATGATATTCACAAACGGGCGAAATTTCAAGCATACAATCAGAGAAAAGAATTTGAAATTTCTTTTTTATACGAAAGCGTTTTCTTTTGAATTATGGGGAAAAAAATTAATTCAAAGTTGATACTATTTGATTTAAAAGAAAATTATTATATAGGTAAAACTTTTTAAAATACTACATAAGAACTAAAGTCAGCTACAATATTTTTTCTAGTTAAAGGTGATGTTTTGGGGAAATTAAGTAAAATTCCCGATTTGTTTTCCGTCATCTGGCAATCGCATTAATACATGCGACTTTTCTACACGGTATTGATGACCCTTTATAACTGTTTTTTTTTCTGAAGTAAACTTCCTCCATTTGCAATTATTAAATGATCTCTTCCTGTATGATTTATATTTATTAATTTGAATAAAGATGTTGGAAATTTCCCCTTTGTAAAAAAAGCAGAGAGAATTCCGCAATATTCTGTCTAGATTTTATAGTTTATAAGCGATTATTTACTAGTATATCTTGACAATGTTCAATTTCAAACAGTATGGTTTTAATGATAACATAATATTATAAGGTACAAACATCATTTAAAACATATGTTTATTATATTTGCAATTAAGTGACAAACAAAAACTTCATTAAAAAGTATGTTTAAATATTTGATTTAAAAGATCCTGTTCATCTCTGTGCTTTGTCATAATTATAGCAGTTGGACATCCTCTTTCGTTTACTTATTCTAAGGTACATGAATTCTAAGTTTGAATCTTTTATACATGCAATATGCACTTATTCCAGAAAAAAATCTAAAATATATCATCATAGGTACAAGAATGATTTTCATGTTACCCAGATCAATGAAACCCTTGTGTCGACTGTACGCAAGCAAGCTATAACTGTTGTAGGAATTAATAAACCAGAACGTAAAATTAGTGGTTACGAGTATAATTGCAGAAGCGGATAGCAATTTCAATCTATCCCACCCTACTGTAAAGCGACGAGAATGGATAAAAAGCCAGGTCTGTAGGTATATGTCAAGCATCGATATTATGCAAGTAGGAATAGTGAACTTCGTTGGTGTGTTTCCGGAGATTCCCGCTAAAAGTGAATAAGTATAAAAAGCCATTATTCCAGTGAGGCTAAAAATTAAAATATACTCTCGAAATATCATCGGCTTTTTTAGTATATGCAAAGTTTTTCTTGAGTTTATGTCTACAAATACACACTATAACGCAGGTACACAAAGCACTTACAATTGCACTAGTTTCATAGGCAATGTTGACCTCTCCGTTCCTACTGTCATAAACAAAATTCATAAGAACCACAGATATAAATATTAGAAGGTTTATAACAATTCCAACTATCAGAGCAAGGATGAAGATTCCATTAATTTCAGCATGTTCCACGCCTTGGCTTTCACAACTATCAGAGGTCATTGCAGTGTAAGAACTATCTTGGTCCAAATTTTGAAACTTTTTAGAATTTTGCCACAGAGATACTAGAAGAGTTGAAGCAAGAATACAAAATTCTAGCTTAGGTGGTAAGAATATTGGCGATACAATTTTCTCTAATTTTTCTTGAATTTCTGACCTGTGTAGACATGATTTGTCATAAATTTCTGTTGAATTCTTATAAACGGTTATTTTATGCATAGTTGAATCGTACCAAATGGAAAAGTTAGTTGCAAGGATGCAGGCAATGCTAAAGTGAAGATGAATCGTTGGCTCCAGTTGGCCTCCTCTATTATATGTGAGGACTGCAATTTCGAGAACAATAAATAGAACTTGCAAAATGTTGGTAATAAGCACAAATAAGTCAACTTCAATGTTATCGTCTGCTTTTCTTACACAATTTTGATAACCAATTATGTGCAGGCATAAAAAAGTCATGTTGGCCAATCCAAACAGCCATAAAAATCCTAGCTGTAAATTTAAAGAAGGATCTTCTTCTGTACATGTACGCTGAGCTACAGGCCCTTGACGACATCTTTGAATCAGTAAACTGAATGCAGACAATATACCAAACGTGACACATATAGTAAGCACAGTTAACTTGCTCATTTGAAGAGTGTCATCACTGCTTTTCTCTGCTGATAACACTCCAACAACGACGAACAGACCAGCACACATATGAGCTAAGAACAGCTGTGACGAAGCCTGTCCATCTTGTAAAGTTGTGTATCGAAATGCTGCCGGAAAAACAGGCCGTAATATAAACTTGACGATGGATTTTAGAAGACTTTTCATTTTGCGTGACAAGATTACAGGCAATGAAACTTCGCATCAGGATATTCTATTTAAATGAAAAAAATATGTAACTAATTAATTTCCCCTGTTACTCTACGAAGCATATATTTCCTCTTCCTCATTTCATTAAAAAAGGAAAATATAATTGATATAAATTTCATGACAAGAAGAAATTAAACCCCGTATCATTTTCTGCATGGATCGTCACACTAAAGCCTTTGTAACTATTTTACGCACTAGTACCGGTCGAAGTAGAAAAGAGGCAAAGAGGCAGGGTTTTTGCTTCGTGATCAGGAAGTACTCGGCATGATTCTCGATCCCGGCGCCGTTTCAAATTTTCAATGTTAACATCGGTAGTGACTGTTCCTTTGTCAAGCGCCCGGTATTGAAAGTTTAAAAGTCAGCATTTTTCGGATATGACCTAAAACGTGTAGGTTTTGTGTTACGTCTTTAAGTCAACCTTATTATCTAAATAATAAGGATCTATAAGTGGTGGATCAAAAAGATCAGTACTCTGAAGTCGTATGCTTCCTCTACTTTTGGGATAGAAAAGTATACACTCTACGAGTAGGGCCCCTTTATTGTTATTATAAACGTTATTTCATCTCATGAAAAGAATTACAATTTTGAA